AGTACATACACTATTATAAATATCTTTTACATTACTGATGTAATATGCAAGCACCACATCATATACCAGTTAGGTAATATTTGGTGAACATTTGATTAACTTTAAAAGCATTTATAAATATCATGAATTTAACCTAAAATTATTTAATATTATTTGTACAGCAAATTAATGGAATTATATTTCTTGGAGCATGATGTTACAATTCTATCAAGAAAGAAAACTTTTTTAAAAAACTTTTTAAAGAAAAAGAAAAACTTTTAAAAAAAATCTGGCATACTAAATTATTTTTCTAAAATAAAATGCAAGAATTAGAGCTATGCAATTACAAATCGAAAGTTCAAATAATATCTCCATTTAGATAAAAATAAGACTATTACAGTCAATCTTTAGCATAAATTTTTATCACAAAACAGTTGTAATACTGAATCATTTCACATAATCAGTTATTTGTAAAAACAATATAACAAATCAGTCATCCAAAATTAGTCATCCAAATGATACTTATTTTAAGTTAGCTATAATGTTCAGATGTAGTGTGATTTAAAAGCTTGAAGGGAGCAAAAAGATTATGTTACTAAAATCCTGATTTCTCAATTTTATAAGCCTACAATAATTTCCTTCCTAAAGAAAAACAATAAACATTAATAACTGAAGTAACAATAATCCACACTACCTCTTCTTAAAGAGAAAATCTCCCAATTTTCTCCTTTAATACATTGCCTCAAGGCCATGAATGCTGACCATTTCTTATGGTTAAAAGGATCACCAGTTATAAGTTCTTCTAAAAGGAATGTGCAAGTCAGCCACACTTGGCAGTTTATGTATTGTGGTTTTGTGGTAGGTGCTACCATTTTCTAAGGATCAAGAAAACTGCAATAAATCTGAGACAGAATGGTTATAATTCATCAAAACATATAACTGACTACTTTGTGTGTATTTTCTAATTCATATCTCATTATTATTTGCAATACATTATGGTTTTAAGAGAGAAACAAAGTTATCTTTCAGTGCCCTTTTTCACTGTAATTTTTGGATAGTTAATCCTGTGCACAAATATAATCTATAAAAGAAAACAAGAACTAAGTATGATAATAAATTTCTGTTTATGGGTAAAAGGGAAAGGAAGAGGAGAAAACGAAAGCACTTGAAAGAATCAGTTTTCATCTTACACCAACTATAAACATTTATAACAAACCAATTAACTCAATGATGTAAAAAAATGATAATTTAGTTAAATATTAATTTAAAATGGCACCTTAATATGAAGATTCAGAGAAACTTACAAGAAGTTTCACCAACTGATTCTCATGCAGTTTCAATCCCTTAATTGGCCTCATGTTTCTTCCTCTTCATCACACATAACTCTTCTTTCTAATGTCATGGCTGGGCCAGCTGCATGCATGTGTGTGTGTGTGTGTGTGTGTGTGTGTGTGTGTGTGTGTGTTAGAGAGAGAGAGGGAGAGGGAGAGGGAGAAAGGGAGAGAGAGAGACAGCATTGGGAGTGTGATAACTAAGTTCATGGGTTAGATAAAATGTAAATGGATATTTGTTACTTATAATGAAGTATCCGAGTTCTTTCTATCTATCCAGTCATACCTTCCTCCCTCCATCTATCTGTATCTACATAAATAAAAGCATCTAATCTAGAGAAAAAAACCACAGGTTTTTAAAGAAGAACATGTAAGGATGGTCACCCAAATGTGGACTTCTAAAAACAACCTCAATGTCCATTACAGAGGAATAAGTAAGTATATTACTACACAGCCATACTAAGGAATACCATGTAGCTTTTTGTTTATTTGTTTGTTTTTCAGGGAAGTAAGATATCCAAATAATTATATGGAAAGAACTACAGACATTATTGATTGAAAAAAATCAAGATACAAAATCTATGTATAATACGATACCCTTTCTGTTAAAAAAAGACAAAAAAGATATACTTTAAACAGATATTCTTATTAATGTATGAATGTATAGGAAAAGTTCTGTAAGCATACACACTTTTTGGAAAGGGGGCTATGTAGAGGGACATATGGAAGAAAAGTAGTAGTCCAAGGACATTTAGTCATCTCTGTTATATTTAAATTTTTGTATGTATGTTCACATTTACTTGCATAATTAAGCATAAACAACTTAAAGAGTATTTTCCCTGTAAAATTATTCCCTATGTATTTTTCCATAACATTACTTGTATTCGGATATGTGGATAGGAGACTAAGAGTAGAATAGAATGAGTTATTTGAAAGAATCTGTACTTAGCCAACCACAGGTACTTTCAAATAACTCAAAGCCTTTGTGTCTATGCTGAAACTGTTATGATGTACAGGTAACAGGTCAGCAATGATCAATTATTAGGATGCCTGAAAGATGAGATTTATGGTCACATTTTAATGTAAATGTTACTTATGGATTTATATGTTTAGGTCTATGACTAACCATCTTTAAATTTAATCTCCTAATTTATAACCCATGGTTAAAACAAAAAAAGCTAGGTCATCTTTTTTCCACACAAAGGCTAACTCAAAGTAAACTATTACTCAAGCCCTCAAAATGATTAAGTAGTACTGATTCACCAATGAGATGGTTTAACTGATTAAAAGAAGGAGGTAAAGGGTGGGAGAAAAAGAAGTAGGTTTATTATTATTATTTAAGCTTCAGAGTCCCCCAATAAACACAATACTCTTATGGAAAGTTATGATACAGAAAGGTATCACACTATTTTCTCTAAGCCTATAGCATTAATCATTTTGCTTCTACGCTTACTATGGGCCAGGTCCTGTGCTAAATGCTTAATGTGCATTATTCAGTTACCTTTCACAATATTCCTGTAGTGAGGATTAAATGAAAAACTGCAGGTAAAACTCTTTACACAAAGCCTAACATACATTAGCACTACTACTGCCTAATCTCTAACTTCATTTATTCAATCCTTACTCTACTGCAGTCAGTTCAACAGATTCACTGACTTATATGCACCAGTGCGGAAGAAATCTTCAATGGAGGCAGGGCATGGTGGCTCACGCCTATAATCCTAGCACTCTGGGAGGCAGAGATGGGAGGATTACTCAAGGTCAGGAGTTCAAAACCAGCATGAACAAGAGCAAGACCCCTGTCTCTACTAAAAATAGAAAGAAATTAATTGGCCAACTAAAAATATATGGAAAAAATTAGCAGGGCATGGTGGCGCATGCCTGCAGTCCCAGCTACTCAGGAGGCTGAGGCAGGAGGATCACTTGAGCCCAGGAGTTTGAAGTTGCTGTGAGCTAGGCTGACCCACAGCACTCTACCCTGGGCAACAGAGTGAGACTCTGTCTCAAAAAAATAAATAAATAAATAAAAGAAAAGAAAAGAAAAAGAAAAGGAAAAAGAAAAAGAAAAGAAATCTTCAATGGATTCCTACTCCCTACCAAATTAAATCCAAACCCCTTCACTTGACATTCAAAAACACATATGACATAGCTCTATCTCCCACCATATCCCTCTATACCCCACTATTGGACTGCTCACAATTACTATAGCATATTACATACTTTCATTTCCTTAACTTAGAAATACTCTTGCCACTCTCTCTAAAGAATACTATCTATTCTTCAAGGCTCAATAGAAATACTACCTTCTCCATGAAGCTAATTCTTGCTGGTACTCTCAAGTAGGTTGTATGTATCTCTATTATGATACTTTCCTTTTGTACCAAAAGCAAGGTTTATTCATTTGTATACCCTTCCGTGCCTAATACAGTGTTTTACACACAATTTATATTCAATGTAGGAAAATTTCACTGTTACTAATAGTTCCACTGAAAATAACTAGTAAGACTTGATATTCATATGTAATTCCCTCTTTAATTTCCCCTTTGATTCTGCTAGTAGTGGTAATGATCATATAGTAACTCTGCTAATAGCTCCCTTTCTAGTCCTAATTCAACACTGAGACATAATTCTTTCAATACCAAACAAATGTGGCACATAATCAGTGACCTAATGTTGACTAGGGTGCCTGACATTAAATTCATTGTGTGTTAACACTGCAGGAGGGAATAAAAGGAAGGAGTTAGGTACATACTAGAATATTAGGATCATCTTTTAAATTCACAACTGGGATACAAAATTCCTCCATTCAATTTTGGGTAATCTCTAACTTAGACAAACTGAACTTTAAAATCAAATATATGTATGCTTATCTACCTGTTTAGTAAATAAACTAATCTTTTATGAATTCTGTTTCTAAATCTATACAAATTGGTTAAAGCAATTAAGTGTCCTTAAAAGCTAACTGACCTCAGCCCTCTAACCACTCAAGAGTAGCTTTCTTTTGGTTAAAATCTAAGGCATTAACCTCATTTTTAAATTTCGTTGTTACATTCCAGGACAATTCTGACTATTTATGACTTCCTTGACTGGCTTCTTTTGAGCAATCAAGTAAAAAACTAGCAAATACTAGTTATACACTTACATTTAAAATATAATTAAATTCTTCAGGTATAAGTACTGTAATACATTATTTGGCTCTATCCAGAAATATTATTTATGACTTCCAATTACTAAAGAATATATTAACTCTTTATGTGAAGGCATTAGTAGTGTAGAACAGTTGAGAATCTTAGGAAGGAGAACTAGTTTCATTCATCTAATTTCCTCTACTGCTTGTACTATACGTGGATATTGTAAAAGAAGACAATTTTGTTGTTAATATTTAATTTTCAATGAAGACTACTTTTTGTACATTTACAGGGCTTAACTCAACAGCATTTCAAATTTATTTTTCTTATATTGCTTTTACATTAGTTTGCTACTACTAGCAAACAGGTTAAATTAGAAATATTCAGGCAAAAGGTATGTTAAACTCAATACTAGCTGCATGTTACCTAGATGTTAGGGATGTTACTATACTTTAAAGCAAGATGACTACAAGTTTTGAAAGTAAAATTTTCGTTATTATAGATTTCATAATAAGGCAGTTACATAGGCTAAGCTTAACTGGTGCCATGGACTTTAGCATACCTGGAAATAGAAAAATTCAAATTGTAGCTGTTCTTGGTTGGCCCATTGCCATTTTTGCAGCTTACAAATTTTTAATTAAGTAACTGCAGTGAGCTCATCTCTACTGGATACTTCTTTTCCAGGGCAGGTCCAGGAACTGGGTCTGGAGCCTTAAAAGCAGAAGAGAAACTAAAGTAAACTAGAGGTAGGCAGAACAAGAAATGTGACCAGACAACATTATAAGATCTAATCGCAGTGAGGTAGTCCCCCAAGTGTCTCACATAAAGTATTTTGAAATGGAAAAAAGGTCTCTTAAATTGCAAGTTACCAGAACATGCTATTTAGTTAAGTCATTCTCTTATCCTACCCAACTTTTTCTGAACTCTCAATTCTAGAAATTCAAACAGTAGCTTTTATGAAATCTCTAATGGCTTTTAGCAACAGACTGTCCAACAGGAGATCACAGAGTAACTGTAACAGAAAGAGAAAAACAACAAAACCCATTTTATTGTTAAAATTGGAATTGTAAAGTCCTTATTTTCAGGTCATTTTGCTCTTCTCTTTCGCAACTGTATTTCCAAACATCTTCTAACTGCTCCCCTAATTTCTGATAATCATTCTGGGGGGGGGGGTTCTTAAGAAATGCTTTAGATATATCCAAGCAATGAACTGAATTGCAAGTTCCAATTTTTAAAAATATTTGGTAATTCTTAAAGAGGGAGGCAAAGAACAGCTCATAAGATGTGGTTTTTAACCACACTGGAAAATCTTTTTTCCATTACCAAAATAGATTCAATGATTTAAAAAAAAAAAAAAATTGTTTTTGCCAGGCCCATATAAAAACAAAAACCAAAAACAAAATTGCAACTACAAAAGTTACAGAAATGGTAGGATATTAAAAATGGTAGAATATTATACTAATTAGACTACCAGGGTCTGGAAATGATGTCCTTATGCTTCATAGGTTGGCACCCTTAGGAGTTTCTCTTAGAAACTAATCCCATAGCAGTCAAAATAAATTGAATTTTCTGCTGCTGTCAAATGATGGCAGATATTGTGGGAATTATAATAGGACAAGAAAAAATCAAGAAGACAAAGATTCAATAAACTTAATTTCCTGCATTTCTAGTAACTAGCAATACAAAAAGCAAAATAGAGTAAAAGTAGTTTTGCGAAAAATGTAAATTTCCCACCTTTTGTTGCATGTTATAGGGAAAAGAATTTTGGGACAGACACCTAGGTTCACATCTGATTTCAGTATGGCCTTGAATTAAAACTCTCTGCAGATGTTTCCCTTCTATTTAAATGGGATACCACCACCCATCTCAATGGATTGTTATGAGGTTTAGCTAAAGTATATATAAAACACCCAATAGACTGGTACATAATTAGGTATTCAATATAGTTTTCTGTATTACTAAAGAATGAAACTTTTTTTTGTTCTAAATATGTAGGTATACTTAAGTTTTCATTTTCATAAATGCTAAAGCAACCACTATGTAACAAGCTTTAGGTTTAAATAATTCAAACTGCATCACATTCTAAGAGATCTAAGTGATTTATCAACATTGACTTTGGAATGGCTAGAAAGAGAATACAATACCTAAGAGAGCTCAATTCTGAGAGCTGATGATAAATAAAATTATAACAATTTTCATTTAGGATGTAATGTAATTCTTTTCCCTCCAAGTAAAGTAGAACATACTTCTGCCAACATACCTCTTGTTAAAAGGTTATATATAGATCTGGAATACCGTGCTTTTTAAAAAACATAAAAGCAAATAATGCATGATATAATTTGGTCTTTAAGTAAGAAAATACTTTAGGGGCAAAGAAAAGCCTTAAATATGGATAATAATTTTCCTCCTACTGATAGAACAGTGGGTTCCACACAAAATTATTATTTACCAAATATGGCCCAAAGATCAGATTACACCTTCTCTGACATTACAGAGTAATAGAGCAAGTATCACAAGCCACAAGGAATAAAAAAAAAAATTCCCTATAGTCACTTTAAATGTGTTCATTGCCACAACTTTATTTCAAAATAGTTTTAAGAAGTTAACATGGAAATGATTTATTCAAAATAGACCACAACTTAATCAAAGGTAACATTAAATTAGTGTCTTCCTCTGAAAGAAAAAAATAAGTATGAGGATTCCTATTCACTAACCCATATGGACAGGCTTTTTGTTTAAAGACTATCAAGGAAAAAAAAAAAAACACATTAGATAAGCCATCACTTTTTGTTTATTTTATAACTAGCCATCACATTGAAATCTCATTACTCATAGTAATATTTCAGTTGATTCTCTTGGCTTTTACAATGTTATCTACAAATAATAATAAATTGACTTCTACTTTCAATAATTATAACCATATTAAGTAATTTTACTGGTTATCAAAACCCCAATAAACAGCACAGTTAAGACCAAAAATGTATTCGGTAGCTTTCTATTAAATAACTCCAGTTCCAGGGTCCCTTCGTTTTTACTGAACTAAACTTGACATTACTGATAACTTTCTCCTTGAAAACTACTTTTCTAGCCAATACCATACACTCTTCTAGCTTCCCAGGATCTTTATTACTATGGCTCGTCATACTATAATGTTTGCCAAAAGGATATAGGGACAAAGTTATGACATCCATTCTCACTTGTTTCTCTGGTATTTTATCTACACTCACAGCATAAGCTAAGGAGAATCTCCTTTAAATTGTAGAATCAATGCTGTATGATTCAACATTTAATTATTTTCTTACAGTTCTACTTCTGTGTTTCTTCATCAAAGTTGTAAGATCCCTGGGAACATGGGCTATGTGCTTAAACATAGGACATTGCTTATATATAATATAGGCACATAAAATACACTCAATAAATAAAGTGACCTCAATAAACCAAGTAGATGATCACTTGTTTGGCAACTTCAAGTACCAGAAAATATATCAACAGAAGACCAAAAATTCCACTAAGCAGCTAAAACATATATTATAAATTAAACTTATAATTCACCTCTATCAGAACCTAGATACTCCTGTTTAATAAAACCCAGAAGCTATTTACTAGGCAGCAATGACTTTCAAGTAATAAGTCATGGAAGGAGTACTAAAGCAGGCACAAAACTATGATTCATTCCAAATATAATCTGTTAAGTATCTACTACACGTTAGGTACTGTCCAGAGTCCACAGATTCGATTCTCACACAGGAATTTAGTGCCTGGCCTTAGACTAGAACCTGGGGTTCCTGATTCATTCTGAAGCGCTGAAACAAAAAATCATTTTTATTTTCCAGAAAAAGTTTAGTATTGGGGGGGAGGTGGAGGGAGAGGTGTCCCTAATTCAGAAAGCAGCAAAGCATGTAAAACATTATAGAGAAAAAGCTTTAGAGCCACAAATATCTGTATCTCTCTACATATAACATATATATTTTTAAAAATCTCTATAAAATCTCTAAAGAAATAGATTTTGGGGTAAGTGTCAATCATCTTTTGTAGAGTATTTATTACCTGATGATATTAGATGAATGAGGTGTTACTCTGCTCATTGACTGATTAACATTTTAATCACAAACACTTCGTAAAGTTTTGTTTTTCTTTAAAGAGCTCTGCCAATCTGTCTCATTTATTTAATATAAAAGTACAAAAACTTATCTTGGAGGTGGGGTGGGGTGATAGTAATGATGTTGGTAAATACTATTCTAAGTAATATTTTTCACTGGGAGAAAGGGACCAAAAGAGAAGGATAATGACAATGTGCTTAGGAAATGAGAAATTGCTCTGTACACATTTCAAGCTCTACTGTTGATTATGACTAAAAAAATTACTTTTCCTAAAGGGAAGTTCTTAGACTAATAGCAATGGAATTCAAAGTGAGTGAGTGAAGGAGAAGTGAGGGGTAGGATTAGAACAAGTAAACTAATAGGCTGACAATACCACGCTAACAACCTAAAGTCATCTTGTCCAAAACTCAACTCGAATACTCAATAATGTGTCTTTGTTAATCATAAACAGCATGCTTTTGAAGCTAGAAACCTCAGTCTTCGATTCTTTTCCTCTCCACGTACAACCAATGGTAAAGTTTCACTGATTACTCTCACAAAAATTTCCTACCTTCATCCCCTTTTCATTCCCAGGATGTCTTTGTTCAGGTATCTGTTACCTGAACAATCACATCGCCCAATGACCTCTTATCTGATTGCTTATTCTCTTAAGCGTTTCTAACTTGTATTTCATTCTGGTAACAAACTTACTAGCTTCCTAAAATACAGGCTGGATCCTGTCGCCTTCCTCCCAAAGAGAAGCAAGTTATTTTGTAGAGGTACACTGTACTGAGTTTTAGTAGAAGGTGTTGACACTGACCTAGGGAATAATGGAAGAGGCAAGACAGAAAGAGAAGAAATTTGAGGACCAAGAACTAACAATAAGAGTCAGAAAAGTTAGTTAGATAAAATTTAGTAAAGAATGGTATCAAGAAAACCAAATGAAAAGTTACAACAAAATGATTACAAAGTTTTATTATTTTTATAGTAATAAATTTCCTATTAATAGTTTACATTTATTAAATGCTACACACTGGGCCAAATGATTTATAATGCATTCACTTCATATTTCCAATAATCACATGAGGTAGGTACCTCTATATGAGACTCAGTTGACTACATGTTGCTATCTCCCACTAGAAAAATAATTATTTTATACAGCCCTTCTCCCTTGTTCCCTGAGAAGCTTAAAACAGAACATTAAACATTCTTAACTATGTTGGTTACCAGAGAAAGCCATTCTTCCTATGAACTTTATTAATTTGCATTGGACTAACATGATTTATATCTGTATACATGTATATACAGATATATACATATACATGCTATTGATCTGGAAATAAAATAATACCATGGTTTTAAAAAATACACATTCTGGTACTCAAATCTGTATTGGAATAGTAAAAGCTAAGGGTAATTTTGTTTTGTAAAGCTCAAAAGTGAAAAGGTATATAAAAATGCTTTTGTAAGTATAATTATTACTAAAGAGAAACTTGGTCTATACCTCTATCATCTACCTAAAAATGGGAAGAAAGACTAGGTGGAACGTAGACAGATGAACATTCCTTTATTTTAAAATGTGCACAGGAAATTGCCTATGAGACATGTGACTATGGACTCAACTCTAAGCCCAGCCTATCATTTGCAATGTATACTCCTTTCAACACAAGAAGGCAGGACCAAAGTTTAGATGAATTTGCAGAAATCCATTAGGGAAAAAAGAGCAAATGGCAAAAGGCAAAATATATGCCTCACTCATCTTGGGTTAGTGATACTGTGTATGGGGGCATTCTCTAGAAGTGGAATGCTTGTTTGAAAGCATCAACCACAACCTATATTCTGGAATCTCAAAAACTCATTTACTTTAAAAAACAAGCATGTCCACTAGCTTTAAACTCTGGTAGTCTATGTTCATTCATTCTCAAGTATTTACTGAGAGCTTAAGTGCTAAGGCATCATATTAATGCTACAAAAACTTACATTTAGTGGGAGAAACTGAAAAGTAAACAGATAATTGTAATATAACACGTAAATCCTGCAACGGAATAAATACATAAATTATTAAATATCATTAGAGCTAATAATCAGTTACAAAAGAAAAAAACCATGGCATTTAAAAAACATTTTCCAGAATACATTAATATAAAATAAGCATATCTGAGTGGGACTCAGAAGATTTTTTTTTGGCCTGTTTTTTTGTTTTTGTTTTTTGAGACTGTCATTCAGGCTTGAGTACAGTGGCATTATCATAGCTCACTGCATCCCCAAACTCCTGGACTCACGTGCTCTTCCTGCCTCAGTCTCCCAAGCAGCTGGGACTACAGGCACACACCACTGTGCCCAGCTAAGGTTTCTATTTTGAGTAGAGAAGAGGTCTCACTCTTGCTCAGGCTGGTCTCGAACTCCTGAGCTCAAATGATCCTCCTGCCTCAGCCTCAAGAGTGCTAGGACTACAGGCATGAGCCACCGTGCCCCACCTCTCTGCCTGTTTTTATCTGTAATGGAAATGTTGCCATAGAAAGCCATTTAGGCACTTAGCAGTGTCAAACTCTTTTCACAATATTCATAGAGCTACTTCATTTTATAAAGATGTAGGACAAAACTCTGAAAATTAGTAAGACATTATTAAATGACCACTATTATAGCCATCTATCTATCAAATAAGTACAATTAAATACATATTATAGTAAATATCCATCCCCCAAATTATCTCCTGATCACATAATTTCTGATGCACAACAGTCTGCTGATAAACAGAACTAATCCAAATTTTCACAAAGCCCTTCACATGCTAGGAGAATTTGGCTTTTTGCTAATAAGCCATAAATAGCAGTAAAAAGAAAGCAGTTATTACAGGCATAGTTTTTAACAAGTACCACTATTAATTTCTTATGTATCGATTCAAGTGATGAGTCCCAAATTTATATTTCTAGTCTGAATCTCTTGTCTGAATTCCATTTCATATATTGAATGTACTGCCTACTTGATATTGCCAGTTATATATCTAAAAGGGATTTCAAAGTTAACATGTTCAAAAACAAGCTCCTCATTGCCCAGCACAGTCTACACTTGCCACTTTTCACCATTTTCCCCCACTTCAGTCAAGGGCAACTACATAGTTCCAATTGCTTGTGCCAAAAATCTCAAGAGTCCTTCTTGAATTCTTTTTTATACCTTAGATTCAATTCATCAGCAACTCCTGCCCACACAAGGTTTGAAACATATCTAAAATCTGACCTCTTCTTACCCTTTCCTATAACCACCCTGGTCTCAGCCACCATCAGCTCTCCTCTAGATTACTGCAATAAATTCTAATATGGTCTCCCTGCTTACATCCTTGCTCCATCCCAAATGTACTCCACACAGCAAAGTTACCAACAGTTATAATTTAAAGAAAACCCCTTAAAAAAGACCTCGTCAATTGATGTAGTAAAAGCATTTGACAAAATTCAAGACCCAGTCAAAATAAAAACTCTTAACAAACTAGGAATAGAAAGAGAACTTTCTTAACCTGATAAACAGCATCTACAAAAGTCCTACCTAACATAAACTTAATAGTGAAAGGCTGAATGCTCTCCCCCTAAGATCAGGAAAAAAACTTGTCAGCTCTCACCACTATTATGAAATATAGTATTGAAAGTACTAGTCAGAACAGTATGACAAGACAAGGAAACAAAAGGCACACAGATGTGAAAGGAAGAAATAAAACTGTCTCTATTCACAGACACATTAGAAAACCCACAGAATCTACAAAAACAAACAGAAAAAAACCAAACACACACACAAAAATAAAACACCTCCTAAAACTGACAGTTAATTTAGCAAGGTCTCAAATTTAGCAAGATTTACCCACAGAAATCAACCATTTTGCCACATACTTACAATGAACAATTGGAAATAAAAATTAAAAACACAAATCAATTACAGTCATTTCAAAAAAAATATCTAGGTATAAATCTAACAAAACAGGCATAAGATTTGTATACTAGAAACTACAAAATGGTGATGAAAGAAATGAAAGACCTATATAAATGGAGAGACATACTATGTTCATGGATTGAAAAACTCAACAAAGTAAAAATGTCAATTTTCTCCAAATTGACTTATAGGTTTAATGCAATTCTTACCAAAATCGCAGCAAGATCTTTTTGTAGATTCTACATTTTACATGGAAAGGAAATGGAATAGCTAAAGCAACTCTGAAAAAGGAAAATTAAGTTGGACAAATTTCACTACCTAATCTTAAGATTTACTATACAGCACAGTAATCAAACAGTGTGGTACTGGTGGAGGTATAGACACAAAGATCAATAGGATAGATCTTTAGAATAGAACAGAATAGAATGATGTTGGAACAATTGGTCATCATTGGTCATAGCAAAAAAAAAAAAAAAGGAACTTCAACCTAAACTTCACACCTTATATAAAAATTAAATCAAAATAGATCATAAATCTCTATATATAAGATCTTTAATGGAACTTTTAGAATAGGAGAAAAATCTTTCAGACCAAAAATTAGCCAAAGTATTCTAAGATTTGACAAAACAAGAAAGGTACAATCCATAAAAGGAAAAAATGCACAAAATGGTCTTTATCAAAACTAAAATTTTTCGCTCTGTAAAAGATGCTGTTAAAGACAAGCCACATACTAAGAGAAAGTATTTGTAAATCACATACTCAACAAAGGGTTTTGGATCCACAATGTATAAGGAATACATCTCCCTCAACAAAAAATAATTCAGTAAGAATATGGGCAAGAGACTTGAACAGATCCTTCACAGAAGCTATACAGACAGCAGAAAAGCACATGAAAATCTGTTCAATATTAGCCACTGGAGAAATGCAAATTAATGCTACTGTAAGATGTCACTACATACCTATTACTGGCTGAAATAAGAAATACTGACAATACCAATGCTGGAAAGGATGTAGAGAAACTAGATCTCACATATATTGCTGGTGGGAATGTAAAACGGTACAGTCACTCTGGAAAAGACTGGCAGTTTCTTAAAAAGTTAAATATATGTCTATCATGCAACCCAACAACTGCACTCCTGGAGATTTATCCTATAGTGATAAAAACATATTTTCACATATAAACCTGTATAAAACTGTTCACAGCAGCTTTATTTTTATAGCCCCAAACTGTAAACTCAAAAGTCCTTCAGATTAGTGAATGAGTAAACAAGCTGTGGTATATCCATACAACAGTATACTTCTTAGCATTAAAAAGGAATGAACTATTGATACATGCAACAACTTGGATGAATTTCAAGGGCATTATGCTGAGTGGGGGAAAAAAAAAACAATCTCTAAAGGTAATATAATGTATGATTTCATGTATATAACATTCTCGAAGTGACAAAATTATAGTGACAGAGAACAGATGGGTGGTTGCCAGGGGTTAGAGTTGAAAGAAACGGTGAGTCTATTAAGGGGATAACACAAAGGATGATGATGAAACAATTTTATATCCTGACAGTTATATAAATTTATACACATGATAAATGTCATAGAACTACACACATACAAACACTAATAAATAAATTGTGTTCTAAGAAGTGAAAGGGAAAAGGCGAATTAGATTATATCTTAAAACCCTTCGGTGGCTTCTTATCTCATCCTGAGTAAAATCTAAAGTCCTTATCACAGTCTAAAGACCCTAAATAGAAAGCATACATTCACCTGGATCTCATTTACCTTACCTCCCCCCACAACTCCAACTATACTGGCTAGCCTTCCTGGTCTTCTTGGAAGATGGCAAGCATATTCCGACTTAAAGGCCTCTGTGTTTGCTACTGCCTCTATTTGGAAAGCTCTTCATTCTGGTACCTGCTCAAATGTCATCTAATCACAGAAGCCTTCCCTGTCTCTCCCCAATATAAAGTGATGTCTTCTTCTTCTTTCTCCTTCCAGAGGAACCTTAAAATCAACAAACAGAACTCAAACATCTTTCTT